ATTCGATGCTTTGGCGCTCTTACTGCAATTGCATTATCACGATGAATGATGAGGATTGGGAGCTACTGTGCGCTTAAATTTTTATTAACATAAATAAGCCGCTAATAGCTGGCACGCGTCGGCGATCTACGTGTCTCCGGCTGGGATAAGGGAATCGTCATTCGGACGACGGAATTTTCAGCTAAGGCCGTTGATGGTATTAAGTCTCACATAAAGCTGATAAATTATTGTATCTCTACGCGATAATAAACGGTCTGAACGGAAATTATTGGAAGATCGTGTTTTAAAAAGCAAACTTCCGAGGTCTTCATTAGCGACGAGTAATTTGAAAATTACTCGCCAAGTAATAACAATGCCTGTATTTCTATAAGGATACCAACTATGAATTACTACGAAATAAAAGCAAAAGAAATTTATGAGAAATATAGAGAATTGCGTAATCATGAGATAAGAGACGTATATTATACCTCACTCTATGCTGTAAGGGTAATTAAGTGACGTAGATTAATGTGGGCGGAGATTGTAGTTAGAATGAAAAATAACAAAATGCTTCCAGAGCTTCGGTTGAAAAAATTGTAAAGTCAAAGACCTTAAGGTAGATCGGATGAAAGATAGGAAAATAATATTAAATTAGATTCAAGACAAGTAGTATGTAATTAAGTATCTCGGACGAATTGGATTACAAAAAAAAAAAAAAAAAAAAAAAAAAAAAAAAAAAAAAAAAAAAAAAAAAAAAAGTAATAATAAAAGAAATGAAAAAAAGGAGGATTTTTTATGTTAATAAAAAATTTCAGCGCATTAACTAAATAAGAAATACAATAAAAATCGATACTGTATAATTAAATGTTTCTAAAAGGTCTAAATATCATTCCGTCTCTTTTATGTAAATAGTGAGCATATACGGCGTAAGTAAACGTTATCGAATCTGGATATTTTACTTCTTAAATTACATTATCTTAAAAAAATATATGATCTAATCTTATATTCGAAATTCAATTCATTTCATAAGGTTAAAAATAAATATTCATATCCAACATACTTTAAGCATTATTCGACATACTGCACATTTGTCATTATTTTGTTAAGAAGGGATAAAATAATTTTAAAAGTATTTAAGCGAATGTGTATGTGTAGATTATTGAATTAAATTAAAGTAATGACTTTATTCTAAAATTGTATGTAGTAAGTTGTATGATAAATGCTATAAAATTTTATTGACACAAAGCGAATTGCACCCAGCGCTTTAGACATTCATAATCGCCTTCGTAGAATTAAATCGATGCATAAAAACGTTAAATGTTATTGTTAAGTTACGTCCATTATTTTATAAGACTTAAACAGGTTGAAATGAAATTCTTGACTCGTAAGCGCTTAAAAAATAAGATCTAATAATTATCTAAAAATTAATGTGTATGAGTTAAGAATAAAAAAGAAGCATATACGTTTAACATCAAGTATTTATCTTTTTACGAATATGAGACAGATGATTTTACCATGTAAAACTACATAAAAGTTTGTTAATAATTCAGAATTATGCAAACAGTAGTCTGCAATTAATGGATCTAATTATTTAAGCGTTAAATTTTGCATATAAATCTTCTCATTGTATAGATCTTTATAAGTCAATTTCCAAATGACTCAGTGAAACAGCTGAAAAAAAAAAAATGTTAATTTCACGTATGTTTATATAATTGAAAACCCACCATTAAGATTCGCGTATGAGAAGATACTCGTGATATCATGATTTATTTTTTTAAATGTTTCAATGAAAAATCCGCATAATCTTAGTCATAAAAGTGGAATTTATAGAATGAAGAATAGGCCTGTTAAATACAATCGACGGAAACGTATAAAAAATTTTTTTTATCTGATTCGTTTATGTAAATAAATTCATCATCTACCAAATAGTGAGCATCTTCAACTTAATTGTAAGGTAGCTTTTCAAAGTAGTAATATGGTAAGGATTACGTAATTAATAAATACAATGAGGCATAATTTTAGCCGGTGATTTGTATAAAGTGCTTAATGAAATGCCTATAAATTGATAATTTTATATTATAATGTAAAAGAAAAATAGATATAACTATTTATCACAATTGTGAATATGAATTGTAAAATTTTACTCATTTATTAACTATAGCAAGACACTTAAAAAGAAAAACTTTAATTTTTCTTAATAATTAGTTTAATTATATCAATTTTTCGATCTATATATCTATAGACTATCTAAACAATTTTGTATATTTATTAAAAATATTTGTAAATTTTGTATCCATTTGAAGCGTGTGAAGCTTATTTAAAATTCGTATTAAATTACATTATCGATTGAAAATTAATCCTCGCCTGTAGTAATTATATTTTTGAATTATTACAAGTATATATGGTCATTAATATTCTTATATTTATAAAATAATTTTTCAGTCCAAATTTATTTAAAAATTTTTTTATTTTTATATTATTTTATTTTATTTTTATAAATTTTGATGATCTAATCTTTGCATTTCTATATAATATCTACGTAATATCAACAGAATATGCTGCATACTATTTAAAAATTTTATTATAATTATATAACTAAACGAATATTAAAATCAATGTATGCGACGTTTGATACACTAAAAAACCTTTTAAAGTTGTGAATTTGTTATTATTGAAGAATATATAATTATTTTGTGAACAAAAAAAATATATATATAGATATAAAGAGATTTATAATTTTCATGATTTTTAACGGAGGATGTTAATGCTATTTAATGTCTATTTAATAATATGAATAATATAAAAGGGAACATTTAGTAAATATATTTTAACATTTTTGTACGTTATTATACGTTTTAATATTAAATTTCTCGCATTCTTACTACATTTTCATTAGATGCTCACTGTACAAAACATGTTTTATCATGAATTTTAGTTAATATCTAGTTCCCAATGAAATTGCATGTAAAAGTAAAAACAGGGAACAGTTTAAAATACGTTTCTATTCACATGTTTAATCCTTAGAATCTACTATAAATTATATAAATTATATATAAAACTAAAAATTTATATATAAATATAAAAATAATAAAATATAAATATAATATAAATCTGAAATAAATAAAAAAATTAAAGAAAATAGATAAATAAATAAATAAAAATATAAATAAATGTAATAAAAAAATGTAGATAAATATGAAATTTGCTTGAAGAATGAAATTTTACTTACAATTCGATTATACCATTATTAACGATATGCGTGGATTGATTTATCGATTCATATTTAATTCCAAATTATTTTAAATGCTCACCTCGCTATATGATCATTTAATTAGAAATTTTATCGAATAAATGAAGTTTTTTCTCGATTATGTTAATAGAAGCTGTCTACATTTAATAATATATTTATAAAAGTACAATGATAGATCTAATACTTTTGTACCGTTTAGTTGTAGCATTAATGATAGATGTAAAAATTATAAATTATTTTTCAAATGTTAGCAAATATCGTTGCTATTTTTTTTATTTTGTCTTTGCAATAAGGATTGGACGCACTTTAAGAAATATTCGTATTTTCTTGTTACCGTTCAAATGTACTGCTCTCTCACCTACTCTTATAGCACCACTCGAATAAATTATTTTCTATACTAATCGCTACTTTGAGCATTTCGTAAGTATCGCTACAATTGCGCAAGCTGCTTAAAATCTCTCCTATTCTTTATGAAACAGCAGTCAAAGAAAAAGTTCAGATTTACAATGAATTTACAAATAATGAAGAATATTATTGTTCGTGGTGAATTTGGGCATATAAAACGAGCAGCCATTAAAAAGTAGAATTACTTGCAAAACGAAAAATAATTTAAAAACGTTTAAAGGCGATGCTAATGTCATAAGATATTTGAATAATCAAAGCAGCAATAAGGAGAGGGAATGAATATAAGTAAAATAATTTCTTTAAAACGACGATTTCGACAAAATGCGTGCCAATGGAATGGGAACTACACGTATTTTACGAGATTGGTTTCATAAAGGTAGAAAGTAAGAAAGTAAATCTTATCTTGCGATCGGAATAATCCAGAGGTATGTTACCTTTAAATACAACTTATTGGCTATATCTCCGTCTCATGAGATAATCAATTCAAATGAGTTATTGTAGGATGAATTGGTCGAGTTAAACGTCGAGAGCTAAGCTCAGTCGGATTCAATAAATGATCGATGCGCGAAGAGCGAGGCGCCGAGCGATCGTAATGCAGTCGGCATTTAGAGAAGGAAAACGCACGCACAACCATCGTGCCGTGCCTTGTAAAAAGAAAAAAATAGTCCGTCAAGCGGGGTGGGGTGGGACTCCTAGGCGTCACCAAGAATCCCGTGGTCGCATATCGGTAGCGCTCGTTCTTACGTGGGTAATTAAGTGGGCGGCTGAGCTCTGGCCTTCGGAGGCCTTCGACGACCGGGAGAAAAAGTGAAAACCGGCGCCGCGTGTGGGTCGCCCACCAGTGGGTGGACCGGCGGCTACACTCTCACGCTGTCTCTTTCCTTTCTTCGTTATATGACGCGCGTGTCCATGTCGCGAGATCGCGGGACGCCTATTGATATTCAAGGAGGCGCGGGGATGCGGCGCCGTTGCGTAATGACGACCGATTGGCTTACCATCGTTCTCGGGGCCGCCGCCGCCGCCGCCGCCGCCGCCTCACGACGAACGATATTTTAGCGAAATATAATTTAATTCGCTTGGCGAATGCATCCTCGCTTAAGGTGTGAAAGGTTGCCTAGTTGCTGCACGAGGAAGAAATATTCAATGGGCGTCTGGGCTGTCAGGGTGGTGAGTGGTTGGGAGGGGGGGGGGCTGACGACAGTGAGTCATTATTCTAATCGAGAGGATGGGCGACGTTTTCAGCAATCCTGACACACGTGAACTGGACTCGATATTTCATAACGAGGATATGGGAGGCGCGATTATTTACTTGGCAATAAATACGATTGGAGATGTTGATTCTCGGCATCGATTACGTCGATAATGATGACAGAATGTTCTGTAATTATTTTAGGGTTTTAATTTTTTTCATTAAAAAATTATAATACAAATTAATTAATATTTATAAGTGTCTTAATGGAAAATACGGGAATAGCGCATATTCACGTTTTATTTTCGTTCCTTTTTGCCTTACGCAATTCTATCTTTTTTGCTTTCTCGGTCTCGTCGTGAATGCGTCTTTTCTTACGAAGCAGCCAAATGGCTTTGGCTCTGTCTTCTCGGCCCTTTATCATACTTTTGTACAGTTTTCGGTGCTTATTTTTAACCAATTTCTCTCGCAAACGATATTCTTGCCGCTCCTGACGACTCTTTTCCCAAGGATCTTCCTTCGTTATTTCGCCACTCTTTACCTTCATCTTCTTTTTCTGTAATAAAACAAGTTTTATTTATTTATGAAACACATCGTAATTATTATTTTTTCTTTCTTTCTTTATAATAAAAACGTATTATATGCTCTTCTTTTAGAGATCTTAAATTTTTTATCTTAATTATTATTGTCTTCAAATATTTAAAAATAAATAATATCACGGCTTTTGAATATTTATCGAACAATTGTCAATTGTTCCTTCTTAATGACCATACTTATATTATGCATTCAAATTTCAGTTCTAATATTCCAGTTAATAATTGAGAGCACTGAAACCTTTTATCAGTTGAATAAATATATGCCGTTGTTGAGAAAGTTACTAATTAACACTAATATAATTCGTTGTACTTATATTTACTTATATTTACTCGAAGATAATACATAAAATTATTTTTCAACGTGTGAATAGCTTCGAGAGCTGCGAAGGTTATTTTTCTTTACACAAGCTCTACTCAACATTTACCTCTCGATTTCAAATTAGCCTTCTCTTCCCTCCTTTTGTGTTATTCTAAATATTTGTCAAACATCGTAAAACCAATATAAGACTTATTTTCACTATTGAAAATTTTACAATTTCGAAAATTGAAAACTTTTAATAATTTGTAAAAAATTTGTAATAATTTGTAATAAAAAACTTGTGGTCTTAAAAAAAAAAACTATAGGTATTTTTAAATATTAATTTTTAAAAAAACGATCATAACATTAATATTAACTCATCAAAACTGCTTTACATATATAAGAAACATTGTATATAAATTATTAAAGATCAATATTAGTAATTATTGTTATTAATTTTCTTCTTGAGACAAAATGTTGGTAATACAGATTCATTGTAAATAACTGCAATAGATAAAAGTTAATGAAGCTTTCAAAGAGAGTATCGGTAATAATTAAAAAACATGATAAGAGCGTTAAATATAGCGCGATAGTGATTATATAAATATCAATGTTTTGTATTCAAATGATATACATTGTATGACACCTAATATTATTCTAAATACGGAAAAGATTTATAAATTTTACTACAAATTGAATTTATACTTATGGTAAATTACATAAAAATAACAAAATCTGAAGGTGATAAATCACATTTATGAGAATTAGTATATGAACAATTTTGTATAATTTCATTTTTCCTTTTAATAAAACTCAATTGGATCTATGTTTATGGCATTTAGTTGCCATCAATCACAATAATGTTTTATGTAAAATTGATAATCAATAACGTGTTGATCATGAAATATATATGTTAAAAATTTTTCATTAGTTATTAAAATACATATTTGTAAGAATAAAGCTTATATAACTTGAATAATTTGAATCTGCCGAATATTGGCTTATTATTTACAATAAATTATTTTTAAAATGTATATAATGATGTTTTTCAAATCGATAAAGAAAAGTGGTTTCATGTATATAATTTTTTACTAAAAAATTGACTAAAAAATTTCTTAAAGATTTACCTGATTTAACCGTTCTTTTTCATTAATACCTCCCGCACTGGATTTTGTTGATTTCTCATTATCCTTTACAACAAGAACTTTATCTTCGTCTTCATCTTCTTCCTCTTCATCCTCACTTATGTCTTCCTCGTCCTCTATCTCCCCTTTCTTTTCATCTTCTGTATTTTCTTCAGATTCTACTTCATCCTCTGATTCCGTTTCCATTTCCTCATCTTTATCTAAAATACAACAATTAATTAACCTATTACAAACTCAAATTTATTGAACAATAAATTCTGTGCGCATTCTCTGCAAAATAAATTGTCAGACATTAGTTTAAAAAATGTACATACTGTAATTCAACTTATATTCAGGATCCATCAATGCTCGCTCTTCAGGTGGTATATACGTTTGGTCGTGGCGGGTATCCGAAAATGGTGAAAGATGCGGTGGTAGCATACAGCCCATGAAATACTTTTCAACGGGTAAGAGTTCCCGGGCATTTACCGAATCGAAGATCCACTGAGGTTGTATGTAATATCTGTAAAAGATGAAATAATTCAAGTTAATAACAACAATTAACGATGAAAATAAAATTGAAAAATTATGCACGTTAACGTTAAAGTCTCGACTAGGTAACTAAATTTATAAAATATTTTTTTAAATATCAGAAACACTTTGCTTTTCAAATTTGAAGATATAAAGCCCACGTATAGACATAATAAATTTCTAGTGAAGGGACCATATATTTATGTTAAATAAATTTAAATATCGTATATGGAAGACATAATTTGTTCTCAGAAATTCGACTTTAAAATTAAAAACATTTGTCATTCTTTTTCATTGAAGCGAATACAAGATTTCTAAATCTTCAAACGAAGCTCCTCTTAAATTATTAATGAACACAAAATTTTTACCTGGAAATAAATTGTTTTTCCATACTAGGTCTGTCTACAATTTGATGAGTTATAGTTTCATCATTTTCATCGTAAGTCGAACCAACGAATAGTAATTTGTCCCATGAAACATCTCCTCCAAAACATCTAATAGTAAAAACAATAGATTCCCTAGGTACTTCTCGATTAACAAAGAATTTTAACCCTTTAAAAAGGGTTTTTAATTTTTTTATTTTTGCACGTTCTGCCTTAGCCTCTTCAATTTTTGTATTATCAGTTTCCTAAAATATAAACTATGTATTATGAATTTCGAAAGCAATAACAATGTCCATTATATGTTAAATAAAAGAAATATAACATTTGTGAAACTGTCAATTTCCAGTTCATCTTCTTCATTCTGTACCGAAGAATTTAAATTAACCAATGGAATATTGAGAGCGCTTATCCTTTCGGATACAAATGCTTGTTCGTCTACAAGACTTTTTTCTGAAAATACTAATAAAAAGGAAAGTTAATTTATCAAACAACACTGAATTATTTCTAGCTTGTGAAATTTTAGAATTAATAAAATCTTTACTCGTATCACCGAACTTTGGAGGATAAAATAAATTTAATGTATGATAAAGCCTGTAGTTTACAAATCCAAGCATAATGATATAGAATTCCACAAATATGGACATCAATTTAAAATCTACTTCGCATTTGCTCTGTGGTTCAAAACCAAAATGATGTGGTACAATCCAAGTGATAGTCTGTCCTTTTATTTCAGCTTGATAATAATAACCTTTGATAGAAATAAATACTTTCCGCAGAGCCTTCGCAGCTATTATAGCATGCATAAATTCTACCGTCAATCTCCGACAAAGCGCACTGTGATCTCTGTGTACATGTTTTATGGATGGAAAAGTACTAAATAAGAAGCACAAAGTAAGGCAATCATCCAAATCCTTTAGAGCATCTATAAATGTAGGATATCTTTCTTTAACAATATGATCTAATTTTATAATAGGATATTTTTTAAGATATCTTCTCATTTCTTTAAACTCTTTCATCGCCCTTGCTCTGTCAATTTTCCGTGCAAATATCTATAATGAAAATTATCATTTAATAGTAAGCTTATGCCCAAATTTATATTAATTTTTTTATTTCATTTAATAAGTCAATTTATATTAACAAAATGCATACCTTATGTTCTCTTAATTTCCATATTATTGGTTCGTGCATTAAGAACTGTATATCTTTTTTATGATAGAGGATCTTGATACGAGTATCCCCTTTTTGTGCTCTTTTACGATTTCGAGGTTCCCTTGGATAAATACCTTTTATAATGGATAATCTACGAAATTCATTCAAGGAGAGTTGCAATTTCTTTAGTGCTTGTTTCCTTGTCATAAATTGCACAGCCTCTCCTGCTTTATACTAGAGATGAAAATTAATTTGTAAATTAAATTAAAATGTTAATTCTTTCATTTAAAAATGGTAATATTTATATTTGCAAATATATGTAACCTCACATAGAATGCGGTTTAACATATACAAATTTTTTACCTTCTTTTTACCAAAGTTCGCCATTTCTTAATATTCCAAATAGATAAATTGTTAATATTGATAAAAGAGATTTTATATTGAATCAATTTATCCAATACCTTTTTAAAAAACTGAACTTTTTAGATGTACATGACAATGTACATGCGCACGTAACGCACGTGTCAAAAATAATGTATGAGTTTGTCAACACCTTCAACCTTCTCCACGAGTTTCAATTCTTCTATTATATTCCAGCCCCATTTGATTTTTTCGTCGAAACATTTTATTAAATCATCATTACTTTCCATAATATGGTACCAATGATTTATGCACAATAATATTTATTTGTAAATTCTAAATTTAAAAAATATATTTTCTACTTTCCATGTTTATATACTGGCATACAGCAAATACCTTTTTAAATACGCGATAGAATTCAGATTATATATATATATATATATATATATATATATAATCGAAGAATAAACGCGTATTTAAAAAGGTATTTGCTGTATGCCAGTATATAAACATGGAAAGTAGAAAATATATTTTTTAAATTTAGAATTTACAAATAAATATTATTGTGCATAAATCATTGGTACCATATTATGGAAAGTAATGATGATTTAATAAAATGTTTCGACGAAAAAATCAAATGGGGCTGGAATATAATAGAAGAATTGAAACTCGTGGAGAAGGTTGAAGGTGTTGACAAACTCATACGAAAGATTCGACAAGAAATAAAATTTCTAAAAAAGGTAAACGGTTTATCTTTAGTAGTGAATGTATAGTTTGAGGAAAATCATAATTAATTTATACATTAAACATTTTTAATAATTATGAAAAAGGTACGCTTTACAGGAAATGTTAAAAATGAACACCTTCAAAGTACTAATTTAATTCATTTGAATGCAATTGTTAAGCGACTGTTATCTGCAAATACACCTGTTCATGTGTTAAAACCCTTCAAATATCTGAATTCAAAATTAGAAGTTGACATTGTCTGCGACAATGGATCAAGTTGGGTTAAAGTTATCGCTCGCAATGCTAAAGCTCTTACTCTTATTTCTGATGGTAATGCTGAATATGGACAAAAATCAGTTTTCGATCAAGCCGATTCTTATATAAAATGTGCTAAAAATCATCCATATATGTACAAGCATCCCAACATTATTTTTCATTTTGCCTGTGGTATAGAAAAACCATTGGCCGATAAATTAGAAGGCATGTTTGGTATTATAATTGAAGGAGAAAAAATTGAAGTAGTTAAAAACGAAGATAATAATTGCGGTAGAAAATTTTTATTTAAATTTCTTTTTTTCTTTTTTCCCAACAACAATAATAATTTACTGTTTTATTATTTTATTTATAGATAAATTAGTACATTCTCAATCTGAAAGTGAATCTAAAGAATCTTTCGATATTAATTATTGTGATTTATTAGAATTAAATACAAATATTAATTCAATGAACGTTTCAATACTTAATTTAGATGTTTCATCGCTACTTGCATATGTAACAAATATGACCAATGGCCATGCAAATTTCAAATTTATAGAACCACTGCTCACTATGCAAACGGAGTGGGAACGTCGTTGTCCGATAAAACCAGTATTAGATGAACTGTTTAAAAATAAAGAGCTAATTATATGTCAAACAGCGTACGATAATTTTACAAATATTGTAAATGTAATTGGTGGCCCAAATGAAAAAAAGCGTTCGATTGAGCTAATGTATAGAATTAAGATTGTGGACGATACACCCAAGGGAAGAATTATGAAGTTGAAACTTGGTGGTAAAATAAAAGCACGTTCTAGATTAATTTTTGCAAGTGGAGACAATTTAAAAAGCATAACTGTATCGGCTAATGAAGGATTTGTTCGTGCTGCTAGAATGCAGGTATAATATATATATATATATATATATATATATATATATATATGATAATATTATTGTCTATAAATATAATTTGATTGTCTACAGATTATGGAAATTATATTGAACTTACGTTTTAGGGAATCGAATGTATGGTATTTATTCACGAACCACGCTCGCTGTCAGAAATGAAGGAGATTAATGCAACAAAAATTAAATTATCTTGACAAATATCAGATGACCAAACACATAAACACTTTATATTTTATAAATTTATAATTTATTATAATGATTTTTTGTTAAAAATGTCATTATATAAGTATTTACTGAAAAATGATCAAAGTTTATTAAGTGTGAAAGTTATTCATTATTTTTTTTTATTAATATTAGATAAGAAATACTGAATTTATTGTTAATACGGTGTGTATAGCCCTGCTTAATCAGTTTGACTATTCGCTGTTGGCCCAAGTTCAACGAGTTCTTCAGAGTGCAAATTCTCCTCGAACTCTGAAAGAAATATGATCGGTTGGAAAAGGCAAATGCCAAAGAAGAAGCAAAGAGGCATTACAACCACACACCTGAAATGTAACTTTGAAATTTTGGATTTCTTGTTCGGGCGAGTGCAATGAACTCCTTACATTTCTCATAATTGCCTAAGAGCTTATGGCACCTGGCACTATTAAGGAGGGCCTTAATGTTATTCTCGTTGACTTTGAGCGCCCACTCGCAGTCGTATAAAGCTTTCTCGTAAAGGCCAAATTTCATGTAAGAAAGCGCTCGGTTATTCCATAATACTGCCGTGTCCTTCCTTTGCTCTAAGGCTTTTGAAAAGTACGTGATGGCCTTTTCGAAATTATTTTGCTTAAAGGCGGTGTTTCCTATGTGTTTGTAAGTCTCGGAAAGTTCATTACGAATTTTTCGATCTTCTGCACGCTTATTGGCATCCCTCTCGACACTTAGTTTGAAAGCATCTAATTCAAATTGATAACAAATGATTTCATTATCTATGACAAAAGTGTTCTTAATAAAATAAATATTTTTAAATTTAAATTTTCATAAATCGCTACCTCCAATGTATATTACCATAAATTTTAATTATATTTAACCAAAATATTTAAGATGAAATTAATATACTACTAAATTATATGCATAAGTGAAATGTAAATATAACCCTTTTCCAAATGATATTAATAAAAATGTTGTTATCCCTTTTAATCTCTATCAATCGGCTCTCAAAGTCGATAGTACTAAATAAAAATATAAGATTTTCTATAAGAATATGCCATATTTACGGATATACAAAATATATTGTAATAATAAAATATATCAAATAAAATTTTTTTATGAATTTTAACTACATTATTGATTGTTGAGAACGGCTTAGAAGATTAGACATTTTAATTATTTGAAAATAAATATAATTCAATTAGAACAAAGTCTCAGAATTTTTTTGAAGATTAATAGATAATAGATACAAAAAAATAATTAATATTAAGTACCTTGTGACATTTGTTTTGGATCTAAATCTTCCAATGGATACTTGCTTATAATGGTTCTATTTGATTTTATTTTCAATTCAACATTTTCAGAAATTTCGGAAGTATCCTTCTTTTTTAAAATCTCATCGGCCAACAACATCCCATATTGCTGTTCTTTGACATCAGAAGAAGCAAGTTGTTTTACAATCTTATCTAAAATAAATTAAAAATTGTATTGAAAGTTATCGATATGATTGTTGAACAACAGTCTTTTTTTTAATAATATATATGTACGCACCAACTTCGGTAACACGGTACATAAAATTCTGAAATTCCTCTTCCGTTACATTTCCATTTGCACTTAAATTCGAAAGACACACGTCTTTCATATTATTATCCATCTTAAATATCTATTTAAATTATTTTACACAAATTTAATATTGTTTATTGAAGATTGTAGTTTTTGCTACTTTGATATAACTTACTTTCCTGTTAATCGCATTGCCATGGACACGAGCAATCATAATCATTTCATAATTATTGTTTAATTATCGATTGATCGAACGCGTCGGACCTTATGATGCGTGTAAGTAATAAAGTGATCGTGCACATTTCATCTTGCATAAATATTGTAAAAAAAAATTGCACTTTGTCATATTCCATTCGATCTTGCTTGTAAAATTTGGAACCTGGTAGCACGACCTGTGAGAAACTGATTATACAAATTACTTATTTTAGAAATACGTAAGCTGCATCCGTTTGCAGATCTCAGCTGAATTGCGACACCGTACGTTTCGTGATGAAATATTGCGCAGAGAGAATATATTTATAGTGGCCGCATGCTCTCAAGTCCGGAAGTTCGCGGTTTAAAATTCGGTAACAGCCACTGTAACTTTGAGTGAATAATTTCTTTTCCATTACATCGATAATAGCTCACCATTCTTTAGGCTAAATAACACGCAGACGATTCATAAATCTAACTCGTATATGAGCATCACTACTACTCTCTTCTGCAAAATCTTTCATTCGGTGAACAGTTTGTGCGAGCATGGAAGCCGTAATATAAATATCATTTTAATAGCTCAAAAGTGCTCTAGTCAGCTAAAGTCTCACTGACTAGCTGATTCACGCAATACAACACCTTTTTCCTACTAGTTTGAGATGAAAAAGCGATTAGACTTTACGACATAGCTTTACACACCGTAATCCACAAAGATAATCGACTAAACCGGCAAAATTACGTCTTTGCCTGGTTTTTATTTTCATAGTTTTATAAATTATTCATACATTATATAAGGTTTGCTTTTTGTATTTATCTTGCAAAATAAGAATCGTTCAGCAAACTAGAAAGGCTTTGTTTATATTAATTAAAAAGTGCGTTTTTTACTTTTCTACTTTTACTACTTAGTTTTGGATTAAAACCTTTTTTCTTTTACTGTAAGAATGATATATTTGAAAGTATTTTAAAAGTACATGAAATGTATATTCGGCAATATTTAACTGAAAAAGTTTTTATCCTACAAGTTTCTTAAGAAAACAGAAATACGTAAATTATTTTTATACCATCCACTAGCTTGTTATTTTTACTATAAAAATATTACATAATCGCTTGTCAGATTTTTAATAATTAATTTGTCGGATTTTGGATAGTTGACTTTAATTTATTTACTATATCATGCATACTTACTGGTCTATCATTGTTAAATAAAATCACAATTGTCATTTTCCATTAGAGTGTATAAATAACAAAAAATAAATATCTGTTAAAATTCGATATTTTCTATTGAAAATATACTGTAAAATTTAATAGTTTTCATTTGAAAATTGAAAAAAAATTAAGGTGTGATAAGAGAATTAACGGTTATTTTTAATATTCCAATTTAATATTAATATAATTCTACAAGTGTTTGCAAAAAAAAAAAAAATATCATACATTAGAACCTATAGAGTTAATTCTTATCATTTAATTCAATTCATTAAAAATTATTTTCTAAATATTGTTTATAATTACTACATTTAATAAACTAAATTTTCAACTTATACTATTCTTTTTACAATATAACGTTTCTGTATTCAATAAAATATTTTGATTGTTTTTATCGTAATATTTCATTCTTATAAAAAAAAAACTATATTTGAGTTTTATAAAAATATTTAATATATAATATACAAGGGTAAGACTGTTTAGACAGTATCATTAAGTATATACATAAATACCTTGAAGGAATTTTTAATTGACAAGTAATATTTGCTTAATCAAATTCAAAATTCTTTTTATCTCTTCTATACTTTCAAATATATATATATATATATATAATCATATCACAATTTTATAAAAATATTAAACGATATTTTATATTTTGAAATTGTTTATTTTCTATGAAATTAAACAAACTTATTACTGTTCAAGCGCTACTTTCTATATATCTACTATTTCTACTGTCTCTATTCATTAGGTAACGGCAATCAAATAAATATGTGATTTATTGTATATATTCTCTATTAACATACTGCTCATTTTTGTGATTCTGTGTGAAGAAGTAGAGTTAATAGAGATAAATAATACGTTGATTCCGGCATTAACTGTCTGTCCAGATACAAATATGTCGTTTATATAGATTTTTTCCATACCGACAATGATTCGTAGATATACTAGGTCATTCTTTTATCTAATGTAGATATATTTTTTGGACAATATTTTCTTTATACTTTATACTTTTTGACTTTTATAAATATAATATTTTTAAATATATAATCATAAATTAAAAACAATTGACAAAAGACATCTTTTTTAATATTTATAATTCATTTAAGCAACTGTTTAAATAAAGTTTCAATAAAATTTTCATCATAATCATTTTATAATAAAGAGTAAATTATGTAAAAAAAATTAAATATTATATATATTGAGTATTAATTATATTACGTATTTTGGATATAATGTTAAAAAATATATCAAAATATTGATATTTTCTTATATATATATATATATAATATAACATAAAAATATAAAAGATACGTATAATATTCAATGCTCAATATATAAATCTTTAAATACGACTGAAACTCAAATTTTATTTTATATTTATGAGATGAAAATATTATTTATTATACTTTTATTAGCATTATAATACTATAAATTATTTATATTTTAACTATAGTTTAAACTACAATTAAATATGCGATTATAGAATATTCAATGTACCATACGTCGAGTGAATTTGTAGTTCGCCATCTCCCATAGAGATGGTACTGTAATAGGAAAAACGATGAACTTACATTTATATGCCCCTTGTGTACTCAAATATTCAAATAATAAATGCATGTAATTTAATAATATTTACAAATTCGAATGATATTCAAAATATTTATTCTATTTTTTTTAATTGAATTTACTTTAATTGAAATTAATTTAATTTAATTGAAAAAAAATAAAAAATTTTTTGATAAAATGATTACTTAATAAAATTATTACTAAAAATATAATTCGTATTGTTTATTTATTAAACATTTATTACAATTGTTTATTAAACTAAAATGAATATTTTTTTAATCATGTAAATCATGTAAGCTTCTGAAAATATATTTAAATATTTACAATTTAATTATTATTAATTAAAAATTTGCAGACAATAAATCTAATTCTTGTTTTAATAACAATTATATAATTAAAAATTATCTTCCTAATGTATAGAAGAGAGATTAATTAAATATTTATTTTACTTATTAAACATGTTAAATTGTTGTTTTTATATATAATTTAATCATTTATTTATATATTTTCCAATGGCTAGTATACTACGTATTAATTAATAAGGTATTGTTTTCTTTTTCTTACAATGTTAAGATTTGATAAGAATAAAATTGAGAACAAAACTTTATGTATCAGTTATTTATGCAATTATAAACTTTCTTTTGTAAAAACTTTAATTAATGCTCTTGTTGATTTAAATGATTTTTCTAAATAATCATTAAAAGAATAATTATATGTTAAAAAGTTACGTAAGTAAAATATTTATTTCAGTATTAATAATAACTTTTTTCACTTTTTGACTATTAAAGATTAAATTATGTTTATATAAATATATTTATTATTTAAAGTTTCTTTATAATAGTCATAATTATATAACCTTAATCATTTACCGTGGTAAACCGTAATATTTATAAATTTTATTTTTTTAATCATTGTTATATCTTTTCCTAATCAGATATTCTTAATAATTTTGCTTGTTTCGTAATTTATATTATTGAAAAAAGTGGTTTTAGTAGTTTAATTAATAGTAATTAGTCATAAAAATAGGAATTAATTTTTTGTTTAGATTTTGTTTACTATTTGTTTAATTTTTAATCGAATTTAATAAAACTTTCGTCCATAAAATAATTATATTTTTATGAAATTTTCTATAAAAACAAACAAAATGTTCACAATATTCAATGAAAGCATAACAATTGTGAAGTAAAATATCTTGTATTTAAAGGGACAGTTAATTAATATAAATAATTAGTATACATATAATTCTATCGGATAGTACAATCTATTCTATTTTAAAATTACATCGTCTTTTGAAATATATTTTTCAATAGAAATAATCGATTTGTTCAAATATCTAGAACTTGCTTACTATTTATTGTTATAGTTTATGTATTTATAAATTGTTTATAATTTATTCTAAGTTTATTTACTATTAGAATTGCATATTAATATGTTCGATAGAAGATAAAATATTAATAAAATTGTTGACTCTTTCCTTTAGGAATACCATTTACGCAATTTTCAGAATATACAAATTGTAAATACAAAATATTGTAAATAACAATTTTAGTGGACAGATTTATTCACGAAATTCATATTCGATAAAATTTAACTAAATATTTACAGTCATTGACTTTTCAATATTATTTTATTTATTTTTTATAAATGACAAAAAAGGATTTATAAATAATGATATAAATAAGCCAAGATACTCTTTTACTTTGACTTTTAATAAATAATTCATATCCATGTTATTGTCTAAAGTAAAATCATGATAAACTATAAACATAATACTGTCAATGATATAAAAATAACTTCTGTATTTGTGTTAATTGATTTTCTTTAAAATTGTCGATTCGACACGACAGGTTATTCAATGATTGTGAGACATAACTAGCTTGCGATTGCAATTGTATTTCTTGGCGTATTTCAGAGGATTGAGGTGACTGATAAAATCGTAAAAATAATGAGATTAGTTAAAACGAATATTTAAATTCTCAGCCGTGTAAGTGAAATGTAATAAAATACGCGAAATGGAAAACTTAGGGGATATAATGTCTCCACTTATTCTATGTTTAAATATTATACTCTTGTAATTTGAACGTACATTATTACTATTAATTATAAGCTCGTTATCAGCTTATTAATTCTAATAATTACTATTAATTTATAAAATAATTTAATTTAATTTT